CTGCAGCCCTCCCAGACATGCTCCTCCCCTCAGCTAGGCTCCAGTTCCTGTTTATTCCACACTGGATGGGAGAAAGAAACTGAGAGAGATTAGGCTCAGGGCTCTAAGGCCATTTTGACCCTCCCTTTCCTAGGGCTGAGCATCAGCAACCCTGCCCCCTCTCTCCAGCACTGAGCTCAGGAATGATCCTTTTCGGCCCCCTCCTGTGCAGACTCTCAGGCTCCCGCCAGTGAGTCACTCAGGCCTGCCTGCCTGCCTGCGGCTGCAGGAATGGCGGTAGGAATTACTCCAGTTGGTTCAGGCCTGGGGCCCCCAGGCATAACCTTTAGAGCATCCAGTCTCTCGGGCTCCACTACCCTTCAGAGAAGGTCGCAGGGCCCGAACTTCCGGCACTCTAATTCACAGAATTCAAACATTCCAAGAAAGGGTGTGAGGAGAAGAGAAGGGAGCCCTTAGGCCCTAATGTGGACCCGGGAGTGTGGCTTAACCTCTTCCAGGCAGTGGAATAAGCAGGCAAAGGGCAAAGGAGGAAGGTCCTAGTGCTGGCAGACTACACTTCCATCACTTAAGCTGCTTATTACAGTTATTTCTGACTACCACCCCCTTTCAAAAAGCTCTGGAATGCAATAAAAGTAAGGACTGGGGGGTGGGGGTAGTGCAGGCTCATAAAATTAAGAAATCCTTCCATCTGAAATCGTGATTCCAGGCCCATCAAGTAACTCATTTCTGGCCTGGGTTCCTATAAACAAGAAGCAGGGATTTCAGGATGCCTGAATTATCCAAATTATTTGGGTCAAATTAATTTAGACTGCTTGAGAAAAGGCATTAATTTGCTTTTAGATTTCCTGGATTAGCTCTGGTATTAATTTCACAGGGAGTACTTTAGAAGACTTTTCTAAACTGGAAAATAAAGCCTTTTCCTGTGGCTGTCAAAGTCTTCCAGAGGGGTGAGCAGCCTCTCAAGGTGGTGGACTCATCCCATTCCTCAGTCCCAAACAGGCTGGTAGAGGAGATGCAAAATGGAGGTAGAGGCTGGGGCAAAGAACCAAGTCCACAGGTATCGAGTGGTAGGTAGGGAAGGGCACCCGAGAACCAGAGGTGGGGCCTTGGGCAGGAATGGAACATTGAGTTAAGGGGAAAGACCGGCAGTGACAGCCAGGCAGCGTCCTCAGGTGAGCCCACAGCAGCAAACTGGGCTGGTGGAATGCACCTAAAGGTAAGGGTTTCCAGTATGGAAAAGGTCAAGGCTTTAAGAAGGAAAAACCAGCAGGGGGAAATTGACGGTAGTGAATAAGGGAAAGCTGGGGAGATAGAGCCTGCTTGGGGTTCAGGTGGAGAGTAATGAGGGGGTGGTGGGCTTTTCGCCTTGGGGAGACATCGTGGGAAAAGATGGTGCCATGGGGCGCGGGGGCCGTCACAGGTCTAAGGAAGAAGAGCCGCGGGATGTCACTGAACTGAGAGAAGGGGGCGCCGCTTGGTGTGAGATCTGTCACGGTGCAAAGAGGCGGAACAAGGGGGTGTCACTGTCCTACGAGACGGGGAAATTGTCCTTGCGCGGAGGGGTAGGGGGTTGGCACTATCCTAGGGAGGGGGCGCTGCGCAGCGTTCCTGCTCTGGGAGAATTTCAGGTGGTATCCCTCTCATGGGAGGCGCCAGGCGGGTCAGGTGGAGGGCACTGCTCCCTGCCAGCCCTGCAACCTCGCCCCGGGTGCCCCCGCCCCACCGTCAGCCAGCTCCCGGGTCTGAAGGCTGAAGCCACTCCCGGGTGTGGGCAGCTTTCTGCCAGCTCAGCGCAGGGCAGGACAAAGCTGGGCGGCGAAGCAGACGACCCGCGGCGTCCTCCCCCACGCCATAAGGCCAGATCCCCGGCTCACCTGGTGTCCCGAGGCCCCTTCTCTGCCGGCCCGGCCACTCTCCGGATCCCAAGATGTCCGCCCGCCCCCTGCTCGTCTGCCCGCTGCCTCGGCTTTCACCGCAGTGCCGCGGCCCCGCCCCGGTCCCGGCTGCGCGTGCGCGCCCGCCTCTCGCGTCGACTACAAATCCCGTCAGGCCTCGCGGCCTCCTTGCTTGCAATTTGAAGCGCTCTAGGTTTAGCAAAACTACAACTACCGACTGCTTTCGAGAAACCGTCCCCGCCTCAGGAAGGGGTAGGCGTGGCCTTAGCCGGCCCTACCAGAAATACACATTCCAGCATACACCGCTCCACCGGCCTCTTTTTTTTTTTTTTTCACTGAGCGCTCTGGGAATTGTAGTCCCTGCACTTCCTCCTGTTCCTATTTGTGTTTTGGAGAGTTTTGGAATATTAATGCCATTTGTAGAAGCATATCTGTTAAGCCTGGGATTGCCGTAGGCCTTTTCTGTCTCCAGAGTCCCAGGACTGGCTGTCCTCACTTTGCACACAAATAAATACAACTTGGCAGTATAAGTGTTTGTGCTGAATTTACTGCTTTCTAACACTACCTCTGATTCTCCCAAGCTTTTCTCGTATATTTATTCCGGACATGAGCTTTTTCCAAGGGATCAAGACCCAAGGAGAGGAGCGGGGAGCAAAGAGGAGACTACTTGGGAAGAAACTAAACCTTTTCACAAATATGTCCATGACTGTACACTCTTCCTCGAGGTCAGCTACAGCTTTTCATGAATGAGCCGATGTTCTCCTTAGCTATACCTATGCGATTGTGCATGCCTTCTAGTGACAGGCATATATGTTGCTTAGAAGATGTTCAAAGAGTTGAATTCAGTTTGACATGGGATTTGAAATCCCTTCTTTGATAAACAGAATCTTTACATCCAAGCTGAAGAGACAGAGCCAACCCTCAAACATTAAAGGCCTGCTTGGTTCTTGCAGAGATAAACTGCTGCCTTCTTTGGGCAGGACTGTGCCTGTCATGGGAGGAAGGAAGGGTGAGAAAGGGCAGATCTGGTTGCAAATGTTACAGTCCTTCCAAGCCTCTGGCCAGAAGCCACAATGAGGATGAAGATCTGACTCCTCTTAAATCATAGTCAAGGTCTGAAGTCATTAAGTGACTGAATACAGGCACTTCTAATTTTTGAACCAGCACTCAAGGCTTCAGTCCTACCTTTGCAAAAGCTTTATCTTCCAAAAATACCCTAAACTGCTACCAATTTAGAGTAAATAATAATAATGATAAAATAATAATAATAATAGCTACCATTTATTGAGCACCTACTCTACTGTGTGCCAGGCACTGTGCTAGGCACTTTTCGTACAATATCTAATTTAAATCCTCACAACAACCCTGTGAGGTAGGTATTATTATCATCATTTTACATACGAGGGAACTGAGGCTCAAAGAGAGGTTAAATAACTCTCCTATCACACAACCAAAAATAGTAGAGCTGGAATTCAAACCCAAAACCACCTGACTCCAAATCCCATGCTCCAATGAATCAAAGTAAAGAGAGAGGGGAGAGGGAGGGCCACATTCAAGACAGATTGTTGGAGTGAAATGAACATGATATGCTGATGAGTAAGATATGGGAAGAAGGAATATAAGCTCATAAATGTTTCTAGCTGGTGAGCCTGTGTAGATTGTGATGAAGGTAACCAGGATAGGAATTCAGGAGGAACATACTTGGTTCGGCAGATGAGTTGAGTCTACATGAAACTGTCCATAGAGATGTCCAGTAGGTAATACCAATACAGATCTAAAGTCTGGGGGAAGTTGGGGTTGGAGCTATGTATTTGGGAATCACCAGCATATCAGCAGCAATTGAGGACATCAGGATGAATGACTCCATTTTGGGAGTAAACAGAAAGGAAAGAGAAGTGAATCAAAGACGGAACGATGGAAGCACTGATACTGACAGGCATGAGCAATCGTGGAGAAATTCTCAAGAGAGTTGGACAAGACAGAGTCAGAGAGAGAAGTACGTGAAACTTCTAGTGGTGGCTAGAAGTCACGGACTGGGTTGGGAACAATTCTAGAGCTCCCAGAAGGCAGGCAAGACTGAGTCACACTTCCAACAAAGCTCTCTGTGCACCAAAATCCCAGGAAGTATTGTTTTTGTTTGTTTGCTTTTGATACAGAATCTCACTGTCACCCAGGCTGGAGTGCGATCTCAATTCACTGCAACCTCCACTTGCTTCCTGGATTCAAGCGATTCTTGTGCCTCAGCCTCCTGAGTAGCTGAGATTATAGGCAGGTGCCAAAACACCCATCTAATTTTTGTATTTTTAGTTGAGATGGGGTTTCGCTATGTTGGCCAGGCTGGTCTCGAACTCCTGACCTCAAGTGATCCACCTGCCTCAGCTTCCCAAAGTGGTGGGATTACAGACGTGAGCCACCGCAACCGTCCAAGGAAGTACTGTTAATTGAAATAAATGCCAAAATGTCCCTACCTTGGTTTATCCCAAAACCTGGAGCTAAGGACTTCATCTCACTTTTGACACCCCAGCCCCCAAAATATGGAAGCCCAGGACAGCCAGGAGAATTTATAGCAGGGGCTTAAAGAGAAAGTCATGATTTGTTTAAAGGGGAGAATAAGGTGAAAAATAAAACCTGGTACTCTGTCTGGAAGTCCTGGTAGTCTCCTTGCCCAACCTCAACTGGCCTGTGGGCTCCTGTGTCCTTGCTCTGGGGTGCCATGGTGAATGTGAAAACGGGGGAGGCTGTGTGTGGGGGTGGGAAGGGTCTGTCAGTCGCAGGGCGAGTCCTCTGCTGAGCCCAGCCTGAGACCCAGCTTACAGGCTTTATCCAGGTGAGAAAATGCCGGGGACATGTGTGCGAGGTTTGAGGGCTACCAGGATGGGGAGAAGGGTGTCAGGGGACCAGCCCCACAACCTAGGAGAGGATTGGGAGGGTCCAGCCCTTCGGGCAGGGACCAGCCCTGAGGCTTTAGTGAACTTGCATAGGCACCTGTGCTTGCGTCTCTGTGCATGTATGCATACATGAGAAAGATAAAGAGCTAAAGAGGCATCTCCCCAACTCGCACCCCCCCCCCCCCCCCCGCAGGCTGCCACATGTGGTACAGTTCGATTCTCTCTGGAAAGGAGGAGAGTCTCTCATGCATGGGTGAAGCTGGGCCCTCCCCAGAAGCCTAGTGACCCATTATGTTAACGTGTGGGTGTGGGGGTTGGACATCCTTGGGAAGCCCTGAGGGGCTGCTGAAGCAGGGTTCCTGGTCTCCTCGGAGGTTGGGCCTCCCCTCGCTGGGGGCTCACAGAAAGTCAAACAGCCCGAAATTCTTGGCTGCTCCAGGCCCAGGAAAAATTGGGGGAGGAAAAAAGAAAAGAAATGTTTCAGGCCTGGAGGTGAGAAGAGCCTGATGGTTAGTAGGGTTAGGGGTCTGAAGGAACCAGCACGCAGGGCAGGCATGGGGCAGGGGTAGAGCAGAGATGCTCCCTGGAAGGCACTAGCCCCTCAGGCAACTGAGGGGGCCCTCTGGGCCTCTGATCCTGGGCACAGGCAGGGATGGCATGGATGGCTACTGGAGGCAACTACAGCTTTAGGTTGCAGGGCTGAGGCAGCAGGCAAGGGGACAGTTAGTAGGGGCAGATGAAGCAAATATATTTTGGTGTCAGTAATGTGGGGTAAAGTCAAGAGGTTTGCACACGTGCCTGATGGGGTGGGGTTAATAGAGGGATTATGTAGCTGAATGAATGGTGAAAGGGAGCTAATGGTGAAAGGGAGCTAAAGGGGAAAGGAGAATGAGGGAGTGAGCATGCCACCAAGGACATTGCTGGGGTCAACTCCCAAAAGGGGGTTTGCAGAGGGGAGTAAAGGGCAGCACCAAGTCTGGTCCCAGGGACAAAAAGGGTCCTGAGAAGTCCTATGCAGCGGTTAGTGGGCAGAGGAAAGGAACTGGGGCCAGAGGCAGGTTAGGGGGCTGCAGAGCCAATCGGTAGGTGCACCCCACCCTCGCAGCACCCTGCGAGCAGTTAGCGCACCTGGATTTAGTTCCGTTTATTTCCCTTTCGGGTACCAGACAAAGTAAAAAAGACGGACGGATGGAGAGAGGAACGCAGCCGGCTGGGGTGGGAGCGGAATGGAGGTGAGGGAGGGGCCCTGCTCACATCACATCCACAAAGAACTCACTGGGGTTTCCCATGGCCATGCGGAAGGACTGTCTGCTGGCGGTCAGTTCCGGGGGCACTGAGGCCAGGTCGCGGCCCGGAGGGGCTCCTGGGGGCCCCATGGCCGCGGGCGGCGGGGGCATCATCAGCATAGGGGGGCCGTAGAGAGGGGGCACTCCGGGAGGACCGTAGCTCGGGTGTGTGTGGTGGCTGCGAAGGCTGCTGGCCAGTGAATGGTGGCTGCGGTGGCTGTGCTCGCTGGCCGCCGGGCCTGAGCGCTCGCTGGGCGCCCGCTCCCGCGGCCCCCGCAGGCTGCTGCGTGTCGTGTGGTCCGATTCGCTGCCGCTGCCCCCCGACTTGGAGTCCCCGGCCTTCGGGTCTTTCTCCTTCCTCCGATCGCTGCCGCTACGGTTGGAGCCACTGCTCCGACTGCCTGTAGGAGGCAAACAGGGCCAGCGCGGGGCAGGTTGAGTGGGCGGGGGAAGCCTGAGGCTCACCTATAACCTTCCTCCACGGCCCCTCGACCTTACCTTCGCTGTGCTGACTGCTGGCGCTGCCCCCGCCGTAGCTGTAGCCCAGCTCCGGGAAGCCTGGGTGCGGGTTGTAGGGGTGCGGGGGTGGCGGGTACTGGTACGGGAAAGCCATAGGCCAAGGGGCGGCCCCCGGGTGCGGCAAAGGGGCCAGTGTGTCCTGGTCAGAGGCGCCACTGGAGCCATCGTGATCGTGGAGAGACAGGTTGGCCATGTCTGTGGAGGGAAGGGCCGGATGGAGCTAGGTCTTTCCGGAGAGAAGTCCCTAGCCTAGGTCAGGTGGGCTCTGGATGACAGAGACTGTGGTAGTTTCTGGCTAGAATGAGAGGTGGCACAGACCAGAGAGCTGCCCCTTCTGCAGACCCGCTTTGCCACCACCAGAGCCAGCTCCAGGGAGACCCGCCTCAGGAAGGCCTCGAGTCATCATTCTTAGTCAAAGCTGTACCTCCCAATCCCTTTAAGGCCCTTGCCAAGCTTTTGCACTTTCTCTGCTGGCCTCAGTGGGCTAGAAGCGGCAAAACTCTTTGAGACGGAGTCTCATTCTATAGCCAAGGCTGGAGTGCAGTGGTGCAGTTTCAGCTCACTGCAACCTCCTCCCCCCTGGTTCAAGCGATTTTCCTGCCTTAGCCTCCTGACAGGGTCACACCACCACGCCTGGCTAATTTTTTTATTATTATTTTTAGTAGAGACAGGGTTTCACCATGTTGGCCAGGCTGGTCTCCAACTCCTAACCTCAGGTGATCTCCCACCTCGGCCTCCCAAAGGGCTGGGATTATAGGCGTGAGCCCGGCCTGCAAAACTCTTATGTGGCCATTTTCTCTTCTGTTCACTCAGCTGGTGCAAGGTTGGAGAATTTGGAAGGCTGAAATACCAGACAGCCACCAGGTATGTCGCACCTGAAGTTCATGAAGCACAATAGTGAACACTACCTTCAGCTCAGCCTAAACTAATCAGAACAGAAGCTAAGAGTAGCTTAGTTTCTCCTTACCTTCTCAGATGAGGTCATTCTTTAGGAGCAAGGAGCAGTTTGGGAAATTTAGGTAAAGTTTTACCCACCCCCTCACCTAGAACTAAATACCCACTAAAAGCCTAGAATGAGTGCAGGGCCTGCCAGAGATTCCCTATATAGAAGGTACTTGGCCCTGATTACACTTTCCTGGTGCTGCTGGAGTAGGTTGGAAGGGGCCAGAAGCAAAGAACAACTTAGGTGCCTCCCCCAGTGCTCTCCACCCCGTTCCCGGCCAGGCCTGGCTCTTCATAGCTCTGTCTCACTCCAACAACTCATCTCACAGACCCTGGCGCCCCCAGGGAAATTATACATTCCTTAAGGGCAAGGCTGCTCCCACCATTGTTGGAACTACCTTGAAGAGAGTATAAGGGGCCACCAGAACTGAATATCTGCCTGGGACACCCTCTGCTCACACAGTATCGGTACCAGGTCCCAGAGCCTCAAGAGAGCTACGACTGCCCTTGAGGCCACCCGCCCTATTAAGATGAGACATTCCTCCAGCCCTAAGGAGAGCCAGCCCAACCTTCCAGGAGAGAAGTCAGGACATAGGGCTCTGAGGCTGCCTGTGGAGCCTGCAGCCAAGCCATCAACCTGTCAAGAGGCCAGCAGCCAGCATGGGGAGTGGTGGTGGAGGAAAGCAGTGGTCTGTGTCAGCTGTTGCCGAGAGCTGGTGGCGACGTGAGCCTCCAGGCTGTTGTTTTGAGGGAATGACTGTGTGCTCCTTGGGGCTACCTAGGCCTCCAGTTCTTCCCTTTAAGCCTGCAACACCCCTAGCAGAGACCTTGACCAGTGAGAAGGAAAAGGCCTGTTCTGGCAGTATCCTCCTGAGCTGGGCCTCTGGGAGGTTGTGAGGATTGAGTAAGATGATGCTTTAGGAACAGTCAGCATGGTACCAGGCAGAGCAGGCACTTAGAAAATGCCAGGCCCAAGAGGGAGATGTGGGCCAGGTGAAGAGGTTAGATTGGACTCTTCTTCCACCACAGAACTCTCAGGCCTTGAGTTGGGCCCCTGGCTCTGCTGTCCCCAAATTTGGGTTCCCCAGAGTCTGCTGCCACCTCCCTGGCTACCTCCCCACTCACAGCCAGGAGACAGGGCAAGAAGGTGAGGGAGGCACATACTGCCGCAGAGGTCGCCGAAGATGTAGTAGCACTGCTCGGAGAAGGTGATCTTGTTGACGGTATGGCGGATGAAGCCAGCTTTCAGCAGGTTGCTAGCATACTTGCGGGCCTCCCTCCGGTCCGTGAAGCCTTCCACATTGTGGTACAGCCAGTCCACTACATCTGAGCCTGGGGGCAAGGCTGCCAGTTGATGGGGAGGCCCATCTGACTTGGACTCATCTGGCCTCACAGAAGCTATGAGGCTGGGGCTGGCTCCAGTTCAAAGGAAGGGTCCAAGGGAAGTCCCGGGCCCTCCGGCCTGCTCTGCCCCATCACTCCCCACCCACCCTGCATCCCACCATGGGGCTCTCTCACCGATGAAAGCATTAGGGATGGTAATCTTGAGCCACATGCGGTCACGGACCTCCAACCCTGATTCAGGGGAGGCCATGGCTTTTACGATGGCAGCCATGTCACTGTGGATGGACAAGTGGAAGTCGTCTAGGCCTGGGGGTGGGAGGCAGAATGGTGAGGCAGAAAGGGGCTTTGGAGTTTGGTAAACAAGAGTTTGCATTCTAGCTCTACCACCTAGTAATTATGGGACCAATGCTGGGAAAATTACTGATTTCTTGAACTCTCAGTTTCCCCTTCTATAAAAAATGGGGATTTTCATATTTACTTTACAAGGCTATTTGAAGAAAGGATTAAATAATATAAATGCAGGTGCTTGGCACAGTGTGCGATATACATGTGATGATAATCGAAATGGCTGCTGTTTACTGAATGCTTACTTTACACCACACATCACAGTGGTGCTTCACTTAGATCCTCTCATTAAACCCACAGGAACCTGGTAGTTTATTTCGTGAGTCCCATTTTATAAGAGGAAACTGAGGCGCCCTGGGTGCTCATACAGGTTCAGAAGCAAACACTGTTTAGTGAGGGTTGGAGTGCCCGCTGTGGGGGAGTTGCAGTGTGGGGTTGCTAGAATGAGCCAAGCCCCATCTCCGGCCCTCTCTGATGCTCAAGCAAGAGTCTCCACATGGACCCTCATCAGTCCTCCCACCTGGCCCTGTCTGCTGGGCCCAGGACACAGGGTTGGACACTCACGCTCTGTGTCAGGGATGGAACTGGTGATGGAGGAGCTGGTGGAGGTGATGGTGCTCAGGGAGGGGCTCATGCCGTATGCAGGGAAGGTGCCGGTCATGGCTGCAGTGTGGGAGACCCAGGCCGCAGGGTCAATGGGCCGGATGGGCTCGCCTGCAGGGAGGATGAGGAGTCATGGGCTACCCACCCTGCCCACTGCTGGGCCCAACAGGATAGATGTGGGGGCTCTGGGTGAGAGAAGAAAGGAGAGACAGTGCTCATGTATGTAAGCACCAGCGTTAGGACTGAGTCTCCCATCCACTTACTCCTGGGCAATGTGAAGCAACCACGTGGACTTGGGTCCCAGCACTTGGCTACAGTCAGGGTGATGGGCCTGAAAACAAGGGTGTCCTGTGAAGGCAGGATGTGTACAGGCCAGACCAAGCCCCTTGCCCAGTGCCCCATTCCATCCATACCCCGGTTTGTGCACAATCTCCCGCAGTACCCGGACTGCATCGTCATTACTCATGTTCTCAAAGTTGATCTCGTTTACCTGGGAAAGGACCAGGAGTGGGATAAATAGCTGTGTTGGGGAGGATGAAAGGGGAACTCAAGTTGGTAGGTCAGGGAGTCTTCCCTCAACCAAGAAAGGGCCTCTGAATGAGCAGGATGCAGATGGTAGGACACCTCCCCGCTCTCTATCCACACCACCGCCTAGGATGGGCACTGATACCTGTAACAGCATATCTCCTGGCTCGATGCGTCCATCAGCAGCCACGGCCCCACCCTTCATGATAGAGCCAATGTAGATGCCGCCGTCACCACGTTCGTTGCTTTGGCCCACAATGGAGATGCCCAAGAAGTTATATTTTTCTATAGAGAGCAATTTAAGACCTTAAGGGGGAGCAAGGTTCCTACCCGCATTCCCAGCCCATTAGAAAATGGAAAGGGACAGGAACTGAACTGACATTTACTGATCCTGAATCAGGCACTGCACTCAGCATGCTCAACATGCTTCCATGGAATCCTTGCTGGCTGTAAGGTAGGGACTCAGTCCCATTTTACACAGCAGGCAACTGAGGTTTAGTGAACCTAGAAGATGACTTTCCTAAGCCAGTAACTGGCAGAGCCAGGAATCAAACTCAGATTTAAATCCCAAAGTTGGGCTCCTTTTACTATATCCAGCTGCCTCGTAAAGAGAGTACCTAGGGCAGAAATCAGAGAGCAAGGATGCAATGGCTGAGAGATGTGAAGGAGTGGGCACTCAGAAATTACTTCCTCCAAGAATCCTTCCCTGATGCCATTTTCTGCTTCCACAACTCTCTGTGCTTATCTCTGTCATAGCCCTGATGGTGAGACACTAAAATGATCAGTTTATGTATCAGCTGATATTTATGAAAGAGAGTTCCCTGAGGGCAGGGAACATATTCTGTGCCTCTCTGAGCTCCTCAAGTCTGCCCAGTGTCTGGCACATAGCAGGTGCTTTAGAGTGCTGTTTCCTCAGACTCACCCATGTTGAGAGTGACCGTGATGATGTTGAGTGACATAGTGGAGTCCGTGATGCTGCTGAAGGACGAGGACTGAAATAGACAGAGGCCCTGAGCAGCAGGCAGGGGTGGCAGGAATTCACTCCCACCTGGATCCTCCTCAAGGTGAGTCCTCGGTGTTGCCCCCTGCCCCAAGGTTCTAAACACTGCACTAAGGGGATGGGATCTAAGGAAGAACAAGCCTTGGCCCTGCCTAGGAAGGGCTTACAATCTACCTCTACCCATCCCTAGCCTCCCAGACCCCATACCCGCTCAATCCGAGAAACCTTCTGCTTCCGCCGCCGCCGCTTGTGTCTTCTCATCAGGCGTGAGGCGCTGCTCTGTTCTGTGGAGCTGCTGAACCTGTGGGGCCCACAGTCGTTCCCCACCAGGCTGGCCCAGCCCTGCCCCCATGAGAGGCACTGCAGGGCCTGGGTCCCCAACACAAAGCCCATAAGCCTCCCAGGGCCCTGCATCCTCAGGGTTTAGGGCTCCTCCAGGGTCACCTGCCCCACAATCCCCATGAAACTCAAGCCCCACCTGCTGGTGGAATCATCCTCATCTGAGTCAAAGAAGCTAGTGGTCTCCAGCTCGCTGCTCATAAGGGTGGATGAGCTATCATAACCCCCTGGTTCTCGCCGCCGCTCCCCCTTTGCAGTTCCATTTAGCCGAGTTGCTGCAGGGGATGGAAGCAGTTGGGTTTACACAGTGCCCAGTGCAGGAGTGAAGGAGGGAGAGAGGTAAGCCAGGGGCTGCACCGGGGCCAGGCACATCCTGAGCTCAGGAAGTGGGGCAAGGAGGTGCGTAGCTGGGTGGAAACTGTGGGGAGGATGTGAGGTACAGACGGTGTCCATGTTCAGGAAGATATACCATGCTCTGGGCCATCCCTCCGGCGTGGCCGCTCTCGCTGGGCAGACACCAAGGAGTCCGTCTCTGTGTCATTGTCCAGGTTCTCCTGGCTGCCCCCACCAGCATGAGGGCTGCAGGAAAGAGACTTGATGGGGGAGGGGCCAGGCTGGGGGCTCCCTCCCCCAGCCCTGGGCTGAGCTGATGCTGCCCTCCCCACCCTCAGGTCACACTCACTGGAAGGACGGAGGTCGGGAGTCCCCGATGCCTCCCGTGCGCTCCATAGGTGGTGGCAGCTCCGATGGGTTGTCAGCACAGAAGGGGGCTGGGTCCGGGTGTGAGCCCTCAGCTGACACCAGCTGAAGGGGAGAAACCGAGTGAGTAGTATGTTAGAGGAGCACCAAGGAGAAGGGGATTGTTGGCTTCCGGCAAGGCATGAAGCCCTAAGAGGAAGGAAGCAGGAAATATTGAGGGAGAAAAGACAGGGCTGTGCAAGGATGGCTGAGATGAACAGTGGCCCCTCTGCCACTTCCTGCTATTGATGGGGTGGCTGGAAGGCATGGGGTGGTGAACTGGAGTGGGGACAAAGAACAAGGCTCAGTGGTCTAAGGCAGAGATGAGCAGGTGGCAGAAGGAAACCTGAGGCAAGTGTCTGAAAGGTATAAGAAACGTTGCTATCTCCACTGTGTGTTTCTATCTCTCCCTCTTCCCCCTTCCCACCAATTTCTCACTTTTCATCAAGGTTACGGAATCTGAGGTGAGAAGCAGTTCATTTAGAAAACTAAAGAAAGATTCAGATACTGAAGCTTAAAACCACCAGCTACAATCTCAGTGATGCCTTTCCCTTGTCCAGCCCAGCACAGGGATGCAGGTGGATGGAAGGCTGAGGGCTCCTTACCCAGGACACCACCCGGCCATTGAAGCATGGTAGCTTGGCATTGTCATCCGAGATCTCCTCCTTCACCACTCTGCAGAGAAAAGGGGATGGTCACAGAGAACCTTCTAGGATGGAAATGGAGGATCCTCAAATCCCAACTCTCAGGTGCTCCTCTATCCTAAACTGGGAATCAAACCACCAGCACAAGACTGTTCAAATGAAAGCAAAGGTTGGGGAGACCCAGGAACAGCTCTTTAGCGCCACCAGGAAGATACCAGCCCTGCCTAGGCCAGATGCCTTCCTGGGGCATCCTCTCAGTCATCAGGTGATTGCAAATGACAACTGGCACATCACTGTCCCCCATGCCACGCCCTAAAATCTCCAGAGTGCTCTACCCATCCCCAACATGACTCTCCTGGGCTAGACTTTCTCTTTTCCTCTGACCCCTAACTGGAAAAAAGCATACAATTATAACTGTCCTTCCTTTCTTAAGTGGGAATCCTAACATTGTTGTGGGAGGTGTGGACAAAGAATTTAAGAAAATTAGAAAAGAGAAGGGGAAGCCGGGCGCGGTGGCTCAAGCCTTTAATCCCAGCACTTTGGGAGGCTGAGACGGGCAGATCACGAGGTCAGGAGATCGAGACCATCCTGGCTAACATGGTGAAACCCCGTCTCTACTAAAAAATACAAAAAACTAGCCGGGTGAGGTGGCAGGCTACTCGGGAGGCTGAGTAGTCCCAGCTACTTGGGAGGCTGAGGCAGGAGAATGGCGTAAACCCGGGAGGCGGAGCTTGCAGTGAGCCCAGATCCCGCCACTGCACTCCAGCCTGGGCAACAGAGTGAGGCTCCATCTCAAAAAAAAAAAAAAAAAAAAAAAAAAGAAAAGAAAAGATAAGGGGAGGCCGGGCGTGATAGCTCATGCCGGTAATACTAGCACTTTGAGAGGCCGAGGCGGGCGGATCACCCTTAAGTGAGGAGTTTGAGACCAGCCTGGCCAACTTGGCAAAACCCCATCTCTACTAAAAATACAAAAATTAGCTGGGCGTGGTGGTGTGCACCTGTAATCCCAGCTACTCGGGAGGTAAGGCAGGTGAATCGCTTGAACCTGGCAGGTGGAGGCTGCAGTGAGCTGAGATTGCGCCACTGTGTTCCAGCCTGGGCAACAGAGTGAGACTCCGTCTCAGAACAAGAAAAAAAAAAAGAAAAAGAAAAGAGAAAGGAAGAAGGCATTTACTGAACATTTTCCACATGCCATTATGATAATTAACAGTAACAATTGCTCTTTCTCACGCTGGTAATCTCAGCACTTTGGGAGGCTGAGGCAGGAGGAGCGCTTGAGGCCAGGAGTTTTGAGACCTGCCTGGTCAACATAGCGAGGCACCGTCTCTACAAAACAAAATAAATACAAAAATTAGCCAAGCATGGTGGTGTGTGCCTGTGGTCCCAGCTACTTGGAAGGCTGACGTGGGACGATCGCTTCAGCCTAGGAGTTCGAGGCTGCAGTGAGCTATGATTGCGCCACTGCACTCCAGCCTGGGCGACAGAGCAAGACCCTATCTCAAAAAAAAAAAAAAAAAAAAAAAATTTGCTGTCATTTATTGAGCATAAATGAGTATTATGGGCCAAGCACTATGCTAAACACTTTACTTATATAATTTCATTTACTACAACAATGCTATAATGCAGGTACACTGGGGAAACTAGGCTTAATAGGTTCAGTAATTCTCCAAAACTCATGCTGGAATTTGAATCCTGGTCAGCCTGACTCTAACGTCTGCATTCTTACCTATTACACCACCTTATCTTCCTATAGTTAGAACCTATAATCTTCACATCAGCCTCAGTGGGCAGACAATATGATCTTCATTTCATGAATAAGGAAACTGAGATACATTCGGTAACTTGTCCAAGGTCACAGGACTAGTAGATGTCAGAGCTGGAATTTCACCCCAGGCTTGTCTGACTCCAAAATCCATACTCTTTCCACTGTATTTCACATTCTTTCCTATATAATAACAGAGGTAATGTGGGTCTGTGTGGCGAGTGCGTGCTGGAGGACAATGATGTGAGGCATGAAGGGTGTGGAATGTGGTCATGGGGCATGTAGTGTGGCCTGGGGAATGTGGTGAGGCAAGAAGTCAGGCAGTAACTACAGTTGGGGCTGGGAAGGGGAGTGGGAAAGTTTGAGGACCCTCAGACTGTCAAATATGCCAGGAGTACAGAGATGGGTAGACATAACCAGGGGTCAGATGACACATGCCGGGAGCTCTGAGCAGAGAGGGAAGACAGCAAGGAGGAGGTTGGGAAGTTCAGTCCCCACTTGTTCTTTGTTTTTTGTTTGTTTGTTTGAGACGGAGTCTCACTCTGTCACCCAGACTGGAGTCCAGTGGCACAATCTCAGCCCATTGCAACCTCCACCTCCCGGGTTCAAGTGATTCTCCTGCCTCAGCCTCCTGAGTAGCTAGGATTACAGGCACTCGCCACCACACCCGACTAATTTTTGCATTTTTAGTAGAGACAGGGTTTCATCATGTTGGCCAGGGTGGTCTTGAACTCCTGACCTCAGGTGATCCACTCACCTCGGCCTCCCCAAGTGCTGTGATTACAGGCATGAGCCACCGCGCCCAGCCCCCGTTGTTCTTAGAGCAGTTTCTGCCCAGAGCCGGGAATGTGCTTGGCTCCTTGTGATGCTCACATTTTTGGACTCACAGCCAAGTTCACAGGCCAAGCCTGCCCTCCCAACTCCCATCCAGCTCTAGCTCCTCCATCATTCCCAACACCACAGTGACCCTCGGAAAGGAGCCCAAATCATCCTACTTAGGCCCACCATGGCAGAAAGTGTAGAAAGCATAGGCTAGAAAGAAGGGACAGAGAAGTAGCTCAGACCCACCAGTCAGGCTGGCCACAGGATACTACAAGTTGGCAGCCCCACAGGGCTCAAAGGAAAAGGGAATATGTGGACCACATGGCACAGCCTGCTTTGGAAAGGGTCTGCTTGTGGGTGGGAAAATTGCTGCTGAGTCCCTACCTCCCGGGTCCCCTGGCAGGCCCCACCACACAGCTCCACACTACATATTTCCTCTCTTTCTGGGGGTCATCGACAGGCCACCAAGGCTCTGCTGACTCAAAACAATCAGCTGATCTTCGGCAGCTTTGGGGAACCTCAGATAGGCCTCACTCTCCCACCATGGAGCTGAATGGCTGGGGGTTACATAGCACTTACTCACACACACACACTTACACCCCAAATGGAGTCAAATAAATAAGGGCCCAAATTCCAATTCTACCACTTATTGGCCCTCTTATCTTACAGAAGTTTCTTAATTTCTCCAAGCCTTTGTCTCATCCTGGCAAATGGGATCCTTAAATGCCTGGCATGATTCAGGCATACAATAAAAGCTAGTTATATTGTCAATCTTTAGCAGGATCCACACACTATTTCTAATTACGTATACATTTTTAAGGGCAGAGCAAATAAATCTGTTTATCATTCATTGTTCATCCAAGTAAAATGCTTTGGCTGGCTGGGCACGGTGTCTCAGCCCTGTAATCCCAGCACTTTGGGAGGCCAAGATGAGCAGATCACGAGTCAGGAGATAGAGACCATCCTCGCTAACATGGTGAAACCCCGTCTCTACTAAAAACACACACAAAAAATTAGCCGGGCACGGTGGCAGGCGCCTGTGGTCCCAGCTACTCAGGAGGCTGAGGCAGGAGAATGGCGTGAACCCGGGAGGCGGAGCTTGCAGTGAGCTGAGATCGCGCCACTGCACTCCAGCCTGGGCGACAGAGCAAGACTCTCTCTCAAAAAATAAAATAAAATAAGATAAAATAAAATAAAATAAAGTGCTTTGGCTGAGGGCCCAGTGGGTTTTAGGTCCTGAGCTTGCTATCGTAGGGATCTCATGAAACATCAGACCCAGAGCTTGCCTTGTTCTTGGAGAGACTTGGTCCAGTGGACAGTTCACGGAAATATACTACAATCCAGGAAGTGGTTGGAGCCATAGGAGCAGCACATGTGTTCACTGGATAGACATCTGCTCAGTGCCACACAGGTGTCAGGATATAAAGATAAAATAAGCCAGGCTCGGTGGCCCATGCCTGTAAACCCAGCACTTTGGGAGGCCAAGGTGGGCGGATCACTTGAGGTCAAGAGTTCGTGACCAGCCTGGCTAACGTAGCAAAACCCCATCTCTACTTAAAATACAAAAATTAGCCAAGTGTCATGGCACACACTAGTAGTCCCAGCTATTTGTGAGGCTGAAGCAGGAGAATCGTTTGAACCTGGGAGGCAGAGGTTGCAGTGAGCCAAGGTCACACCACTGTACTGCAGCCTGCATGACAAAGCCAGGCTCCATCTCAACAACAACAACAACAACAACAACAACAACAAAAGGGATAAAATAAGAGATAAGAGTGCCATGACAGTTGACAGTTCTCATGGAAAAGCTCAACCCAGAGGGCAGGAGAATTTGAATCTGGAGGAGACAGGGGAAGAAGAGTGCTATAGGTGGAAGGCCCAGAGGGAGGACAGTGTATGACATGCAGCAGGGAGCCACACAGTTAATGACCTGGTTGCCATGCTGCCCCCTCTCACAGCTCAAGGCCAGACTAGCAGTAGGTACTTTACTTCCATGAACCATCCACCATGCCCTCAATGCTGAAAATGTTTATCTTTCCTCCATTTCTCAAATAACTTAAGATGACAGGCTGTGTGCAGTGGCTCACACCTGTAATCCCAGCACTTTGGGAGGCTGAGGTGGGTGGATTGCTTGAGGTTAGGAGTTCGAGACCAGCCTGGCCAACATGGCAAAACCCCATCTTTACTAAAAATACAAAAATTAGCTGGGCGTGGTGGCACATGCCTGTAATCCCAGCTACTTGGGAGGCTGAGGCAGAAGAATCATTTGAACCTGGGAGGCAAAGGTTTCAGTGAGCCGAGATCACACCACTGCACTCCAGCCTGGGTGACAAGAGAGAAAATCCTCAAAAAAAAAGAAAGAAAAGAAAAAAAATTTAAAAAGATGGCTGGGCCTACCCTGAGCTTGACAAATGCTTTTGGAGACCAGATGGGACTTGAGGGGTCCTCAGGCCTCACAACCAGAACCTCCAAGGCTGAGCCAGGAGTGAAGAAACTGGAGAGATAGCAGCCTTCCTCCTCTGACCCATCTTCCCTTCTGTCAGTTAGGGTCACTGGCCTCCGCCAGTGATACTATTATGCTATGTATTTCATAAGGCTGTTTTGAAGATTAAATGAGTGAAGATTTGAAAAGCATTTGGATTAGTCCCTGGCACACTAAGCATAAAAGGTGTGTGTTAAATAAATGAAATATATATATATGCTCTTCAGCTATTAGTCCTCTGTGACAAGACAGCCCTCTCAGGTCCCCTGCTCATTTATCCTTCTGGGGATACAAACAAAATGTGTCTCCTCCACTTCATTTTTAATACTGTTTTTAACCCTACTAAAATGGTCCAACTCTGATTTTGGTTCAAGTACCACTGATGTTTGCAAGATGGCTTCAGGTGGCACACAGATTACCGTTGCTTAGTTCAATCGTTAAATATTTATGTTAAATATATTTTAGAAAGAAATATAAACAGAAAAGTCAGATGTATGGTTTCATATTATTGCTTGGTTCAAGCTAAGAAAAAGAATGAGTGGACTGACAATGGATTTAAAGAAAAATATTAAGTAAACAGTGACTGCTCGTAATGGGGGCCCTCTTATAACTGCAGTTAGGCCTGGCTCAACAGCAGCCTTGGGATTGGGAGAGCAGCCCAGAGTTGTCCAGGCTTAGGAGGCAGGGGCCAGGCCTAGTGGGTCTAGAGATAAGTGGGGGGTGGAGAGACAGCCTATCCTAGTCCCTCAAGGCATCTGGATCTGAGGTGGCCCCAGGGCACTGGACTCTGGTTGATCTTCCCCTTTTCCTTGTGTGGGGGCAGTAGCTTGATCCCTTCTAACCCTATTCTTCTCTTGCCAGGCCAAAGCATCCACCCGCTCACACAGACCCCTTCCAGATCCATCCCTCCTCAGAATCTTCCAATCAGAGGTGTCTGTCTCTGGGCTGAAGGCAGACAATCATTATCACAGCAGGAGCACCCCACCCCAGGGCAGGAACAACAACAGAAACAAGAATACTTAAAGAGTCTACAGAGCACTGCCCACTGTACAAAGCACTCTCACACACATGATTTCACGGGCTCATCCAACCCTGAGTTTCAGGTGACAGCAAAACATGCCAGGCATTAGACAGAAGGTGCTTGCTTCCTAGTGCTAGGTGGGCCAGGGGCTTGGGAGAGAAGCCCGACAACTGAACACTGGGGAGGAGAAAGACTCCTCTTGGCTGTAGGGCCTCAGCTCCAAAAAGCAGTGCAGGCCTCAGGCTAGGGCTGGAGAGGCAGCCTTCAGGCCTGGAGGGGCCTTCCCCACCGCCTCCAGGCCCAGCGCCCAGTTAATGAGGCGGCAGGCAAGTGTGGGGCGCCTTCCCCTCCCCCAGTCTCCTGGGAGTTGGGGGGGTTCGAGGGGATCAGCCAGGCCCCCCCTTCCCAGGCCAGCTGCTTCAGAACCTTCCGGCTCCAACATTCCATCCCCTCTTAAAGGGAAAGTGCTTCCAAACTCTGCCTGTCCGGATCTCTGCAGCGGGGTGGAAGGGAAGACCCCATCAGCGAGGGGAAGATGGAGAACACCAAGAAACTCTTCCTGGCCCTCCCACCCAGGCCCCAGGCCCTGCCCAACGTCTCCCCACTGGCCACCATCTGGAGGAAAAAGACCCAAATTGGAGGAAAGATCAGCACCTGGGTCAGTGAGGACGCCTACTGAGGGGTCAGGCTCTCTGTTCCGGTGACAACACCCCCAGCGGCCCACAAAGGAGAGGGGAGGCAGCTAGATAAACATCAGACCTGCAGACCCCGCTCACGGCCAGGCGCCCGAGCACCCCCGACACCCCTCCCCCGGCTCAAAGTCCCAGCAGAGCCCTCAGATGCAGCATACTCCAAATATGGCTGGGAGCTGTGCTGCTGAAAAGATGAAGGGGGCGAAGAACGAGGGTCACACAACGCAAGTCTGTGCGGAAAAAGGTGGCTCTGGCTCCTCGGCAGGAGGAGGATGGGGGACTCGGGCTCTGAAACTAGGTGGAGGGGGTGTGTGTCTGTCTCTGTGGGCCACTGGTCTCTGACGAGGTAAGGCGACCGCACCGGCAGGAACTCTGCTCGTGGGGAGTTGGACGTCCCCTTAAACAAGGGACGCCAAGGTCCCCCCTTCAGAGGTGAACGGGAGTTGCCAGAGGGGCTGGAACCAAAGGAGCCCAAATGGGCCGAGTCGCCCCTAGAAGTCAGAGCGGGGCTAGGAGCTGGTGTGGCGAGGGAAGTCGAAACGGACCGCGTCGTCCCTTAGAAGCCGGAGCGGCCGGGGCACCCGGAGGCGGGGCGGGGGCCATCCTCACCCGAAATCGTCGTCCATAGACTTGAAGAAGAACTTATAGCTGGGTCGCTGCAAAACGCCCTTAAAGTCCGCCAACGTGACGCGCTCGGCGGGCAGGGGTAGCTTCACAAGGTACGGCGTCTCCTGCCCGTCCAAGTGGTAGATGATCTTGGTCTCGCCCATGGCTCCGGCCTCGGGCCCGACGGCCCGCGCGCGGCCTGCTCGGGCGGCCGGGCCGAGCCTCCCAGACGGCGGCGGCGCGCGGCGCGGCCCAGCGGCTCAACCCAGCTCCGCGGCTGCCCGCGGCGTCAGCTCCCTTGTTCTCCGGCCGCTCCTGGGTCCCAGCGCCGCCCGCCGCCGCCGCGGCCGCCGCTTCCGCTCCTCACTCTCCTGACTGGACTGGAGACCGCGACTCTTCCGGTGGCCGCGGCCCTCCCGGCCCAGGGCTGCGTCCCCCGCTCCCCTCCTCCGGCCCGGCGCGGCCCCGCCCCGGCGCGCCCCGCCCCCGGCCGCCGCGGAGAGCGGAGAGACGCCGGCCTCGCGGCAGATGGCTGAGCTTCCACCCGACCCCACTGACGTCCCGCCCACTGGCTGGGCCGCGGCGCTCCGGTCCCGGGTCCCTAGAAACGGAAGGGGAGATTCACGGGGATGGCGGCGTTCCAGGACCCCTGAAGGCCCTGACTCCGGACCGAAGTGGGATCGGTGACTGCTCTGCAGTCCGGGAGGAGTGGAAGGCAGGGATTGCTTTGGTCCCCAGAAATGGCATGGGGAAAGAGGGTGGGTCTGACTCTGGATCCCTGGAGGAGAGTGACCTTAATATGGCCAGTCAGGGTTTCTTGAGAAGCACAACTGCTGTCAATGAGTCTACTACACTGATCTCGAGAGCAGGACAGCATCCAGTTCTGATTCCTCCCTATAATCTTAGCGTCCTGTTGCAAGGTAGTGGTTTAGTAAGTGGATTGAATGAAGACTAAGTGGGCCCCGGGCGCGGTGGCTCATGCTGGTAATCCCAGCACTTTGGAGGCCAAGGCGGGCGGATCGCCTGAGATCGAGAGTTAGGACCAGCCTGACCTACATGGAGAAACCCCGTCTCTACTAAAAATACAAAAAAAGTAGCCGGGCGTGGTGGCGCATGCCTGTAATCCCAGCTACTCGGGAGGCTGAGGCAGGAGAATCGCTTGAACTCGGGCGGCGGAGGTTGCGGAGGTTGCGGTGAGCCAAGATCGTGCCATTGCACTCCAGCCTGGGCAACAAGGGTGAAACTCCATCCCCCACCCCCACCCCCACCCGACACAAAAAATAATAAGTGGATGCATGCACGCCTAAAACAGTAAGTCTCAAACCAGAACTAGGTATAGCCGGTTCCTCACAGACCTCCTCACCTCGTAACTTTTAATTCATTTAATAAATACTGAGGGCCTACTATGTGTAAGGCATATTGCATGAGATATAGCGGTAGCAAGACAGACAAGGCTGCTCTCAGGACCTTCTGTCTGCTGGAGGGACACACATAGGCTTGTAAATACATAGCTTCAGAATGACAACTGCTATGAAGAAGGTAAAACAAAGTGATGTGATAGTGACAGGGGAAGCCGGGCGCAATGGCTCATGCCTGTAATTCCAGCACTTTGGGAGGCCAAGGCGGGCGGATCGCCTGAGATCGAGAGTTAGGACCAGCCTGACCTACATGGATAAACCCCATCTCTATTAAAAATACAAACATTAGGCCAGGCACAGTGGCTCATGCCTGTAATCCCAGCACTTTGAGAGGCTGAGGTGGGCGGATCATGGGGTCAAGAGATTGAGACTATCCTGCCAACATTGGTGAAGCCCCTCCTCTTTTCACCCGCTTTTTTTTTTTTTTTGAGACGGAGTCTTGCTCTGTAGCCTGGGCTGGACTGCAGTGGCCGGATCTCAGCTCACTGCAAGCTCCGCCTCCCGGGTTTACGCCATTCTCCTGCCTCAGCCTCCGGAGTATCTGGGACTACAGGCGCCCGCCACCACGCCTGGCTAATTTTTTATATTTGTAGTAGAGACGGGGTTTCACCATGTTAGCCAGGATGGTCTTGATCTCCCGATCTCGTGATCCACCCCCTTCGGCCTCCCAGAGTGCTGGGATTACAGGCACGAACCACTGCGCCCAGCCCTTAAAAAGCTTTTTAACAACACAGCAATCCTCCTCCCTGGTATAGTGGTGAGAAAAAAATAAAAACAAAAAACAACAGCAGTTCTTTGTCCTATTTCCCTACCACTCTCAGTACTTTAGCTCATAATACTTGTTCTTGATTTATGCATTTTAGACATTGCTTATTGATTTCCAAATTTGATTGATGATTATCTCTCTTCTACCTTCCCTTTCCCTCTTAAAATAGTGAAAGCACACTTTTTGGCTAAGTTAATATAGTACTTAGTATTGACCTTATTTTGACTATGAGCAAATGTTCACTGCTAAGTCATGTGGGGTTTTTAAATTGTGTTTTGTTTTGTTTTTGTTTTATTGATGGAGTCTCACTTGGTCGCCAGGCTAGAGTGTAGTGACGCAGTCTCGGCTCACTGCAACCTCCACCTCCCGGGCTCAAGCGATTCTTCTGCCTCAGTCTCGGAGTAGCTGGGATTACAGGCACATGCCACCACACCTGCCCAACTAATTTTTGTATTTTTAGTAGTGATGGGGTTTTACCATGTTGGCCAGGATGGTCTCAATCTCTTGACCTCGTGATCCACCCGCCTCTGCCTCCCAAAGTGCTGGGATTACAGGTGTGAGCCACCGCCCCAGCCTCATGTGTGTTTTATAATTGTTTCCTTTACAACTTTTTTGTTTCCTCTGACTTTAATCATTGCCTTGTTTTTTCATTTGTTTTAATATATTATACCTATCATTAATTTTTCCTATGTAATCTAATAGTTTCTCAATACACACTTTGTTCACTCAATCAAAGCTATTAGATAATCCATCAGTTCCATTTTTCCCTGAAGCCTTCCATTCTTTTTTTCTTTTTTTTAAGATGGAGTCTCACTCTGTCGCCCAGGCTGGAGTGCAATGGCAAGATCCTGGCTCATTGCAACCTCCGCCTCCCGGGTTCAAGTGATTCTCCTGCCTCAGCCTCCCAAGTAGCTGGGATTACGGGCGCCCGCCATCATGCCCGGCTAATTTTGTATTTTTAGTAGAGACAGGATTTCACCATGTTAGCCAGGCTGATCTGGAACTCCTGACCTCAGGTTATCCACCCGCCTTGGCCTCTCAAAGTGCTTGGTAGAACCTTCCATTATTTTGCTCTGGTCAGCACCGCTGGCTATCTCAGCCTGTGCACAACTATCATCCTGGGACTTCTCTGCATCTGTATCCTTAAAATTCCCTTTACCTGTCTCTGTGTTGGACCCGTTTCTTGGATACTTTACTCCTTTGTTTTATTTATTTGTTTATTGAGACGGGGCCTTGCTCTGTTTCTCAGGTTGGAGTATAGTGGGGTAATCATGGCTCACTGCAGCCTCGAACTCCTTGGCTCAAGCGATCCTATCGAAGTGCTGGGATTGTAGGTGTGAACCACTGTACCCAGCCAACAATCAATTCTTGAATTAAGAACAGGCCCATGCCTGTAATCCCAACACTTTGGGAGGCTGAGGTGGGATGATTGCTTGAGCCCAGGTGTTTGAGACCAGTCTGGGCAACATAGCAAGACCTTGTTTCTACTAGGGGGAGGAAAAAAAATGGCTGGGCGTGTAGCTCATGCCTGTAATCCCAGCACTTTGGGAAGCCGAGCTGGGTGGATCACTTGAGGTCAGGAGTTCGAGACCAGTCTGGCCAATGTGGTGAAACCCCGTCTCTACTAAAAATACAGAAATTAGCCAGGTGTGGGGGCATATATGTGCCTGTAATCCCAGCTACTTGGGAGGCTGAGGCAGGAGAATCACTTGAACCCAGGAGGCAGAGGTTGCAGTGAGCCAGGACTTTACCACTGCACTCCAGCCTGGGCAACAGAGGAAAACTCAATCAAAAAAAAAAAAAAAAAAAAACGGAAAAATGGTAATTAAAATGTTCTTGTTTTTGAGACAGAGTCTCACTTTGTCACTCAGGCTGGAGTGCAGTGGTATGGTCTCAGCTCATTGCAATCTCCACTTCCCAGGTTCAAGTGATTCTCGTGCCTCAGCCTCCTGAATAGCTGGGATTACAGGTGCATACCACCACATGTGGCTAATTTTTTTTTTTTTTTTTTGAGGAGGAGTCTCACTCTGTCACCCAGGCTGGAGTGCAGTGGAGCTATCTTGGCTCACTGCAACCTCTGCCTCCTGGGCTCAGGCGATTCTCCTGCCTCAGCCTTCTGAGTAGCTGGGATTACAGGCATGCGCCACCATGCCTAGCTAACATTTTGTATTTTTAGTAGAGACAGGGTTCCACCATGTTGACCAGGATGGTCTCAAACTCCTGACCTCAAGTGATCTGCTTGCCTCAGCCTCCCAAAGTGCTGGGATTACAGGTATGAGCCACTGCGCCCAGTCCTAATTTTATTTATTTTATTTTATTTTTTTTTGAGATGGAGTCTTGCACTGTTGCCCAGGCTGGAGTGCAGTAGTGTGATCTTGGCTCACTGAAAGCTCTGCCTCCCGGGTTCACACCATTCTCCTGCTTCAGCCTCCCGAGTAACTGGGACTACAGGCACACGCCACCATGCCTGGCTAATTTTTGTATTTTTAGTAGAGATGGGGTTTCACCGTGTTAGCCAAGATGGTCTCGATCTCCTGACCTTGTGATCCTCCCGCCTTGGCCTCCCAAAGTGCTGGGATTATAGGCGTGAGCCACCGTGCCTGGCCCCTAATTTTGTATTTTTAATAGACACAGGGTTTCACCACATTGGCCAGTCTGGTCTTGAACTCCTGGGCTCAAGTTATCTGCCCGCCTCGGCCTCCCAAAGTGCTGGGATTACAGGTGTGAGTCACATCGCACCCAGCATTTTTTTTTTTTTTTTTTTTTTGGCAGGGTCTTGCTCTGTCACCCTGGCTGGAGTGCAGTGGTGTGATCATAGCTCACTGCAGCCTTGAACTGGACACAAGTGATCCTCCCACCTCAGCCTCCCGAGTAGCTGGGACTACAGGCGCACACCACCACCCTTGGCTGATAATTTAAAATTTTTTGTCAAGATGGGATCTTGCTATGTTGCCCAGTCAGTCTCAAATTCCTGGCATCAAGCAATCCACCTGCTGTGGCCTCCCAAAAGGCTGGGATTACAGGCATGAGCCACCATGTCCAGTGATTTTTCCTATTCTCTTTCTGCAGCCCAGTAGATGATTTTGGGCCTTATGGATTGATCCTTTACTACTTTTTTTTTTAGATAGATAAAATATTCATGATTCAAGATTCAAGAAGTATGTAAGAATGGAAATACAGTGAAACGTTACGCTCCTATTTGATCCTCTAATCCTCCAATTCTCAAGAGAAGGAATTAGTTTGCTTATTTTTAATTTCTAAGAACTCTTTCTTCTCCAATTCTTCCTTTTTAAAGTACTTTATGGACACAATATCTTTTCTTTGAGTTTTGAGAATAGTTATTGTAGCTTTTTCCCTATGAAGTTTTCAGAAAGCTCCCTACTTTGTCATTGTTTCCTTGGTTTCAATTTTCTATTTATTTGTTTTGGTCTTTCATATTGGAAGGTTACTCAGATGTTTAATGGTCTTTAGCTGTCTATTCACATTTAACAGTGAGATACCAAAAAGTGGATTGGAAGCTCAGTCTATTTACAAGGGTTATTAACGAACAGGCTTCATTGTAGGGTGATCATGTGGGGGGAAAGTTGACTTTATTTGTTGTTGAAGAAACCAAAAATGTCAGTATGCATAGGCATTTTTTTTTTTTCTGCAGTTGTTTCTTTTTATACCGGAGATTCTGTCAGTGTGTGCTGATGTTGAGTCTCACCGCTCATGTATTTTCACTTAGTTCTCTATTTTCGATCTAATACCTCACCTCTATCCCCACTATGCCTGCTGCTGAATGCAGAGGCTCTGATAGTTTAAGTTCCCCTGGACATTCTGAAATTTCATGGGCTTTTTCATTCATTATGCTGGGCACTCATGGATAATTGGTCTGGAAACTTGTGACCTTTGGGCTTAGGAAACCTTAAGTCTATCTGCTAACTTCCTTCCTACCATTTCTCCAGAGATGGAATCTCCCATTTTATGCAGGGGAGAAGTAGGCATAATCACTCAGCTGGATCAGATGAGGTTGGGACTCGGCAGGGCTTTTTCTTATACAGATCATCGAGTAATCTCCTTCCACCCCACCCCTAGTTCTCAGCATCGTCCATACCCTCCTTTGAGGTGCTGAACCTTTTCTGGGTTCAGAAGGGCACATTGGCTTACTTCTCACCACTAACTCCCTCAGCAGGTAGAACCCAATTCATTCTACTCTGTTAAGTCATTGTCGACTCTTCTGTTTTTCATCTTCCAAAATGTTGGCATCTCTCATTCATTGTCGCCTCCTATTTTCCTTATCACTGGGTCACATGGCTTTATTATATGTATTTTTGAGACAGAGTTTCACTCTTGTCACCCAGGTTGGGGTGCAATGGCACGATGTCAGCTCACTGCAACCTCTGCCTCCTGGGTTCAAGCAATTCTCCTGCCTCAGTCTCCTGAGTAGCTGGGATTACAGGCACCCGCCACCATGCCTGGTTAATTTTTTTTTTTTTTGATATGGAGTCTTGCTCTGTCACCCAGGCTGGAGTGCAGTGGCCGGATCTCAGCTCACTGCAAGCTCCGCCTCCCAGGTTTACGCCATTCTCCTGCCTCAGCCTCCCGAGTAGCTGGGACTACAGGCGCCCGCCACCTCGCCCGGCTAGTTTTTTGTATTTTTTTAGTAGAGACGGGGTTTCACCCGGTTAGCCAGGATGGTCTCGATCTCCTGACCTTATGATCCGTCCGTCTTGGCCTCCCAAAGTGCTGGGATTACAGGCTTGAGTCACCGTACCCGGCGTTTTTTTTTTTTTGAGATGAAGTCTCGCTCTTGTCCCCCACGCTGGTGTGCAATGGCCCAATCTCGGCTCACTGCAACCTCTGCCTCCCAGGTTCAAGTGATTCTCCTGCCTCAGTCTCCCGAATAGCTGGGATTACAGGCGCCCGCTGCCATGCCCAGCTAATTTGTTTGTTTGTTTGTTTGTTTTTTTGAGATGAAGTCTCACTCTTGTCCCCCAGGCTGGAGTGCAGTGGTGTGATCTCGGCTCACTGCAACCTCCACCTCCCAGGTTCAAGTGATTGTCCTGCCTCAGCCTCCTGAGTAGCTGGGATTACAGGCGCCTGCCACCATGCCCAGCTAATTTTTGTATTTTTAGTAGAGATGGGGTTTCATCATGTTGGCCAGCCTGGTCTCAAACTCCTGACCTCAGGGGATCCACCCACCTTAGCCTCCCAAAGTGCTGGGATTACAGGTGCGAGTCACTGCGCCTTTTTTTTAATTTTTTTTATTTTTTTTATTTTTAATAGGGGTTTACTATGTTGGCCAGGGTAGTCTTGAACTCCTGCCCTCAGGTGATTCACCCGCCTTGGCCTCCAAAGTGCTGGGATTACAGGTGTGAGCCACTGAGACCGGCCAGGTCACATGCCTTTTTAAAATAATTCCTTTACTGGTTTTCTTTTTTTTTTTTTTTTTTTTTTGAGACGGAGTCTCGCTCTGTGGGATTACAGGTATTTTACTGAGACCGCCAGGCCACATGCCTTTTAAAATAATTCCTTTTACTGGTTTTTTTTTTTTTGAGACGGAGTCCCGCTCGGCTTCTCAGGCTGGAGTGCAGTGGCTGGATCTCGGCTCACTGCAAGCTCCGCCTCCCGGGTTCACGCCATTCTCCTGCCTCAGGCCCTCCCAGCTGGGACTCACAGGCGCCCGCCGCCACTCCCCGGCTAGTTTTTTTGTATTTTTAGTAGAGACTTTGTTCGGGTTTCACCGTGTTAGCCAGGATGGTCTCGATCTCCTGACCTCATGATCCGCCCGTCTCGGCCTCCCAAAGTGCTGGGATTACAGGCTTGAGCCACCGCGCCCGGCCCCTTTACTGGTTTTCAATAGAGTTTTTGGAGGGGACATAAAAGCTAATATGTTTAATTTTCCATATTTAACTGGAAAGTTTTTGTTTTGCTTTTAATGCATCCTTCTAGCCTATTTTTTAGGCCACTCCAGCATCAAATTTCTGTAAGGCCTTCCCTAATTACCCTAACTGGAAGTAATCTCTCTTTCTGAAAAAGCTCCGTAGACTACTTTTGATTTCTGCTATACATTCAGTACAGATCAGGGATGCCTTGTAAGTTACTTGTGTCTCACTGTACTAGGTCCATGCCATAATGCCAGAATCTTCATACTAGATACTAGATCCTGTACCTGACGAGACAGAAACTGAGATTTACTAGAAAAGTAAATTAAGCCAAACCCTGGCCAGCCTGTCTTTTCCTTTTCCAGTAATGCCTTCATACTTCCAAGACATCAGTCACCATGTCCTCAGTTTATATCTTTTTTTTGAGACGGAGTTTCACTCATCGCCCAGGCTGGAGTGCAATGGTGCGATCTCGGCTCACCGCAACTGCCGCCTCCTGGGTTCAAGTGATTCTCCTGCCTCAGCCTTCCGAGTAGCTGGGATTATAGGTGCCCGCCACCATACCCGGCTAATTTTTGTATTTTTAGTAGCAACGGAGTTTCACCATGTTGGCCAGGCTTGTCCCAAACTCCTGACCTCAGCTGATCTGCCCACCTCGGCCTCCCAAAGTGCTGGGATTACGGGCGTGAGCCACCGCGCCTGGGACAGTTTATGTCTTTCTACCCAACTAAAATGAATAAAGGCAACCATTTGATCTGTAATGTCTGGGGCAGTAGGGATGAGGGGCAGAGCATCGCTTGTTACAACAGTCACATTAGCCACAGTTTAAGTACCACTAAAGGAAATTATTGTTATTTTTTTTGAGGCGGGAGTACAGTGGCAGTCTTGGCTCACTGCAACCTCCACCTCCTGGGTTCAAGCAATTCTCCCTGCCTCAGCCTCCCGAGTAGCTGGGATTACAGGCGCCTGCCACAACGCCCAGTTAATTTTTGTATTTTTGTAGAGATGGGGTTTCACCATGTTGGTCTCGAACTCTCGACCTCAGGTGATCCACCTTCCTCGGCCTCCCAAGGTGCTGGGATTACAGGCGTGAGCCACTGGCCCCGGCCAAAATTATTGACTCACTCTATATGAAGACAAGGAACTTGAAAAGACAGAAAGGCATGTCTCTTTTGGTTGAAGTTGAAGCAATACAGCAAAGTGACAAGCTCCAGGTCAAGAGTCCAATATCAAACCTGGCTCTACCAGTTACTAGTTAGGGAAACTCTGTGAGCTTCAGGCACCTTATATGAAAATGCGGATAAGACTTCATAGAGCTCATGTGAGGGTTAATGAAACAATATGTGAAAACTATTTGCCTGTCACATAGTAAACACTCTCAAGGGAAAGCACCCTTCACAGGGTCTTCCTGTGTTCTTGGGACTTCCATTACTGGCTCTGGGTTATATTTGTCTGTGGGGCCAATTTCCCCTTCACTGAAACACAATATGCTGAAGTACAGAGTTCTGCATTCTGAGGGTCAAGTCCTTAGCTTTATCCCTCAAGAGTCATGTGACCTTGAGCTGATTTCTTTCTTTATTTTTTTTGAGACGGAGTCTTGCTCTGTCGCCAGGGCTGGAGTGCAGTGGCCGAATCTCAGCTCACTGCAAGCTCCGCCTCCCAGGTTTACGCCATTCTCCTGCCTCAGCCTCCCGAGTAGCTGGGACTATAGGCGCCCGCCACCTTGCCCGGCTAGTTTTTTTTTTTTGTATTTTTTAGTAGAGACGGGGTTTCACCGTGTTAGCCAGGATGGTCTCGATCTCCTGACCTCGTGATCCGCCCGTCTCGGCCTCCCAAAGTGCTGGGATTACAGGCTTGAGCCACCGCGCCTGGCCTGATTTCCTTATTTTTAAGATGAAGAGTGGCCCACCTTCCTGACAGAACGAGTGCCAGATCAACTGGAAAAGGTATGTGAGAGGAACTGACATGTCTAATGGGCTTTACTTATGGTTGGCAACATAACTCTCTGGCAGAAAAGTGTTCAAAATGGGACTCTATGGAAATGGGCTTAGGCACACCACCCCAGGATCACAAGTTGGTCCCCAGAGGATGGAAAAGAACCTCGGCCCTCTGCTACCCATGAACCATGGGAAAGGTTAATTAGCAAGGTACCACAGTACCACCTAGTGGCTGGAAACCTCTGTCCTCCCTCTCCCCCAGGTGTTAAGGAAAGGCTACCATGTGACTCTGGTCACATACTTCACTGGCTGATTAGTCAGGGATGGAGACAAACCAAATACACCGCTCTCTCTTTTAATATTAACATATACAAGCAGCAGAGAGAGCCAGCTGCTCTCTGCTGTTCCCTGAGGGAAAGCCGGAGCACAAAGCTGTTCCTCTGGCCTTCCTCCAACTGCAGGGCCTGCTTAGCTCCTCCCTAGGCAGAAGCTTTGTTCCAGCCCCACTTCCCACATCCCAATTCCACAGTCAGGATGGGAGGCACATGGTTGCTAGCAGGGGAGAGAATACTGTAGTTCCAGCCTCTGCTCCTTTCAGTCTCAGCCTGGATGGTGGTCATTCATCCCTCTGCAGCTAGTTCCTTACTTGTCCCAGCCCAGGAGCCAGGAGGGTACTCAATCACACCCACAGGGGCAGGCAGTGTGACTTCAGTCATCTTCAGATGACTCCTCTTCTGCCTCTTTTAGCCACTGGATGAACCTCTGCAGCTGTAAGCGAGCAAAGGAGAGATCAGCGGGGGAGGTGCACATAACTCTCCTGCTCCCCTCGGCAGATAAACAGCTTTTAACAACCAGAGCCCCAGAAACCAACCACCCTAGAGTCTAGGGGCCAGGACCTGGGAATGAGATTACCATCTTGACAAGAGGAGGGCAGCCTGACACACCTGTTGATTCTTGCGCAACTGCCGGCCCTTGTCAGTTGTATCTCTTTGGCTGAACCAGCTCAGAATTGTTTCCTCAGCCAGGATCTCCAGCTGGTAGAAAGCCATCAGTACCTGCAAAAGGCCAATAAAGGGAACCTCAGGGGCCTTGGAGAGTCCAGCAGGATACTCTACCAGGCCCTCAGATCCCTCTACGCACTGAGTAGCCTCCTCCAAAATGGACAAGAGTGAGCTGTTCACTCTGCTCCTGGGGCAGGTCTAACTTCTGGAACTATTGCTAGGGAGAGCTTTGCACATTTCCAGACCACCTCCCAGATGGCTACCTTACTAGCCCGGCTCCAAGGTGTACTATTCTAGCAATAAGCATGATATTGGGGGAGTGGATGGTCCATACTGGATTCACATTAGCTTCTATCTTATGTCTCCCACAGTGGTCACAAACCCTCATTTGAAAGCAAGTGCAGAAGAATGGGGCTTGAGGTCATATTCACCTTGGCCATGGAAATACCAAGAGCTTCATGCTCTAGGAAGAAGTCCTCAATGGCTGCTAACGCTTCCAAGTGGTCGGCTGCACGCTTTATGTAGTTCCTGAAAACAGGGCTCCAGGCCTTGAGCAGCTATGGAAGAAAGAAGGGAGCTGCAATATATTCCTGAGCATTCACCTGTACCTGGACATCCAAGCAAATCCATATTGATGACATGGGTGGACAAGAGGGAGATGATGCAGGTTCTGTGGAATTATGTCGGAGGGACTTGGGAGTCGTTGACAGGGTTTGGGAAAAACAGATTCCTTAGGGAAGGTGAAAGGGGATCAGATGCTATAGGCTGCCTCAAAATACCTATTCCCACCCCAGAGGCTGATCTTGTGTTGGGTCAAATCGCTGCCATAGAGTCTGAATGTCCAGGTCCATTCCGAGTATACCTTTGGGGGCCTAGGATGGTATGAATCCTGGAGTCTCAAAGGCCAGTCAGTACTGAACTCAACCTGACCCCTCTGAACCAGCCAAGACTGCTCTAGAGCCCAACCAGCTTCCAGAGGCAAGGAGAAAGGAACCAGAAGTCATATACCCAATATAACAGGCTAGTCTACTCCTGATTTCCTTTAAAGTCAAGTACAGCAAGCATGTGTATCTGCCTCTACCCAATCCCTTGTACTCAGCTCCGATTTTTGCTCACAGGAAGCAGCAGGGCACAGTAGCGGCTTGAGTCAAGCGGGGAATCCATCTGTTGCAGGGGGAACTCCAGGACCACGTGGCTCAGTACCTGCATCACCTCCTTTAGACTTATGTTATAGGCATACCTGTGGGGAGACTGGGGTGACACCAGGGCCTTCACTGGCCTTTCAGCACGCTTAGAACTATGACACTGACAGACATTGAAGAGGAATTTGGATGGAATATGGAAGGGGAGGGTTTAGGAAGGAGAAAGTCTATGCTGAGGCTAGAACTTAATAGTGCTCTCCTTGCTCCAAATACTACTGGTCTTTCCATTTGGGATTTCAAAGGAATACATTCCTATTTGGAGAAGAAATGCTTACGAGAAAGCCTCTACTTTCCCGGGATCACCCCGAGGAGAACAGGGAGGGGCTGCTCTTACTTGAGAGAATTGATTTCCAGGACGAGATTGTCACAAGAAATGTTCTCCTCTTTGCCCCGCTGTAGTGTTCCTAGAACTTCATTCTGGAACACTGGAATCAAAGCAAGAATAAGTTCATGGGCCAACATCATTCCAAAATGCTCTAAGTCATCCAGTCTTGACTTGATACCAAACCCTTTCTGAGGAACACAAGCCTCTGGCTAGTTGATCCAGGCAGAGAATAAACCGGTCCAGCGCATTTCTCCCCTGGCCACTCACCTTTGATATCATCCATCTGAGGGGAGCCTCCCCGGCTGTCCGGCTCCTCAGAATCCATACTTTGCTCACTTTCACTTTCACTCTCTTCTTCCATGTTGATCTTGAGTCCTGAGAAGCCATAATGGGTGAGGAAAAAGAAAAAAAAAAAGCCATCGACAGAGAGCAATATACCTGCCCTGTCTGCATAAATAAAGGAGTGAATAAGTAATGCGACTCTGAAGTATTCATTATCCTTCAAAATATTCCGACTCAGTAGGAGGGCAGGCATCAGGCCTAGCTCACCCCACAGATTCTGCTGCAGTTCCTCCTCTTCCTCCGTGTTCATGTCTGCAGCTTTCCAGAGGTAGCCCTTGCCAGCAACTCCTACTTCTGCTGGATTGTAACCTGGAAAAGGCAATGATCTATAGAGGGCCCAGCGGAAACACTAATCCCTCCAGGAGGAAACACTGGTTCTTCTATGAGGCAGCGAGACACACAGATGCCCCACACCTGTCGAATCTCACACCTTTCATCTTCACTTTCTCCTTTTCTTGGTCAGTCCCAGAATCATCACTGAACTCCCCATCATCTTCATCTTCCTCTGCATCTGGAGGGTGCAAAGAGATTACCGAGCCCTCAGGCAGCATGATATCTGGGCCCACGACCACCTAGGGGAAAAAAAACACAGAACCATTAGTGTGTGGAGGAAAAGTGCATCCTGATAATGAGAGCAACATTTTTCTTTTTTTTTAAACTAAGCCTAGACGGTAAATGAAACCACCGGATTTGTTCTCTCAACTCAGACAGGATTATGGGTGGAAATAATGTCCCTTCTGGCTCAATGTGACTGCCACGCAATTTGGGGCCCGTGCACAGTACACATCAGGTCTTACCTGGGAAGTGAGGACACAGCGTGGTTTCAGTGTCACTCGTTCCTTGACCTCAGCATTGTCACAAAGCAGAGACTGACGGATCTGTGCTCCAGCAGCCACTCGAACACCCTGCCACAGGTAGGTCTGGTCCAGCACCACGTTATCACCTGGCTCAGGATGGGAAGGCCTCTGGGTCACTAAGGGTACCAACCGCAGAGCAGAGCCCTTCCTAGAGGACAGGGCTGACTGACACCAGCACAGCTCCCACCTAACTCTCATTCCCCATCTCACAAGTCACCAGAAACACCCCCTCACCCCCTAAGCCCAAGCCTGAGAAGAGAAGATACTTCACCAAGTTTACAACAGTTATAGACTATATACAGCGCTTAAGAACCCGAGAAGCTTCAGGATTTCTGGGGACCCTCTGAACTAAAAAACCTTATTAGAATCATATCTATGTCTACAAGCAGAACCAAATAATTCCACCTCTTCTGGTACATTTTAGAATCCAAGCCTTTTTTTTCTTTTGAGACACGGTCTCACTCTGTCACCCAGGTTGGAGTGCAGTAGTATGATCATGACTCACTGCACCCTCGACCTCTGGGCTCAGGTAATTCTCCTGCCTCAGCCTCCCGGATAGCTGAGACTACAGGCACGTGCCATCACGCCTGGCTAATTTTTGTATCATTTGCGGAGAAGGGGTGTCGCCATGTTGCCCAGGCTGGTCTTGAACTCCTGGGCTCAAGCGATCTTCCCACCATGGCTGGGATTATAAGCATAAGCCACCACACTCAGTCCCTAGAATCTGAGCCTTACTGTTGTTCTTGGAAAGGGGAAGTACTATTAGAAGCATCACATTACTGCAACCAAAATGAGTTAACAAGAGGTCAACCAGGCAGTTATGGTAGACTAAAAAGAACACTGGACTTACAATCAGAAAACCCAGATTCAGGTCCCACCATTATTGCCAATGACCTTGGGCAAGAAAATCTTGTTGAGCCTGTTTGTTTATTTGTAAATTATGAGGATTAAATGAAACAATGTATATAAAAGCCCTTTGTAAACTGTAATGTGCTAAATAGATGTTGTTACTGCATGTTAATTATGTGCTTGCTCCTGAATGTGACTATAGGGTACCCTGGAATGTGAAGAGTCATCCAATGAGAAGCTCACAGGCCACAAATTAAGGTATCACTGTTTTCAAATCCCTGTTTCCTCCTTTCCTGAGGTAGCCACTCTAGTTCCTTATTCCCAGGGACTGTCCCTTGTGTAGCCATCCCTTGTGTTTCTGGAGATATGCACCTCCCAGGTTCCTGTTCCTAGGATGGTTGGCTTGATTCCCCACCTGTGCTCACCAATGTGGCAGCCAGGGCCAATGACACTGTTGGTGATAAAGCAATTGCTGCCAATGACAGTGCCAGAGCCCAGGAGCACATTTTCCTCTAGGATGCTGCCATGGCCCAGGCTGACCTCAGGCCCTCGGTAGATATTGTGCCGGGAATGAGTGCAGCTCTGGGTGGTGCTGTCAGTGAAGTTCGCCTCTGGGGTGAGAGGGTAGACCCATCGGCGGATGACGTCAGCACAGATAGCTGAGTACATGTGTAGGTTGGAGACACGGGCACCATATTCCTTAGCTGTTACGTGCATGTGGATCTGGTTCCCTAGAATCTGAATGAGAAGGAAAGGGAGGTCACCTAAGCAAGAAAGACAGGAAGAATGCCCCAAAGTACAAATTTTCTAATCCTTGTAAGCTCCCCTCTGCCTCTCACTGCCACAAAGACTCTTCTTTGTGTACTGCTCCTCCTGCCCCCAGCTTTTCCTCCCTCCTAAGCCTCAATAAAACACAAAAAGGGATCAAAAGTTACCAGCATGAGATACAATCATAGCCTTCTCCTCTCTCCTAAAGAGGCATTGGAAGACTTTTCTCACCTCCTCATTCACTAAGAGACCTCGCACAAAGTCATCTCGAGTTTGGTAGTCAAAGTTGTCTGTAAAGAGTTGCGCCACCTGTGGAAGGGAAGCAGAGTGGGCTAGAATTAAGTACTATTCTTTTTTTTTTTTTTTTTGAGACGAGTCTAGCTCTGTTGCCCAGGCTGAAGTGCAGCTGCATGATCTCGGCTCACTGCAACCTCTGCTTCCTGGGTTCAAGTGATTCTTGTGCCTCAACCTCCCAAGTAGCTGGGATTACAAGTGCCCGTCACCACACCCAGCTAATTTTTGTATTTTTTTTTTTTTTAGTAGAGATGGGGTTTCACTGTGTTGGTCAAGCTGGTCTCGAACTCCTGACCTCATGATCCACTCACCTTGGCCACCGCGCTCGGCCAGGATTAAGTACTATTCTCTAGGAGCACAGATAAACCCCCAGAGACCTAGCAAACCCTATGACAGTTAGACATGGACCAGAATTCCAAAGAGACTCCCAGTGGGATACTGGAGACAAGATATTTGCTTTACAACAGATTCCAAAAAAGAAAAAAAGCCTGGCTGCAGTGGCTCACGCCTGTAATCCCAGCACTTTGGGAGGCCGAGGCAGGCAGATCACCTGAGGTCGGGAGTTCGAGACCAACCTGACCAACATGGTAAAACCTCATCTCTACTAAAAATACAAAAATTAGGCCGGGCGTGGTGGCTCAAGCCTGTAATCCCAGCACTTTGGGAAGCCGAGATAGGCGGGTCACGAGGTCAGGAGATCGAGACCATCCTGACTAACATGGTGAAACCCCGTCTCTACTAAAAAATACAAAAAACTAGCTGGGTGAGGTGGCAGGTGCCTGTAGTCCCAGTTACTCTGGAGGCTGAGGCAGGAGAATGGCGTAAACCCGGGAGGCAGAGCTTGCAGTGAGCTGAGATCTGGCCACTGCACTCCAGCCTGGGCGACAGAGCGAGACTCATAGGCGAACTCTGTCTCAAAAAAAAAAAATAAAAACAAACCCAACAAAAATTAGTGACAGTGAGTGGCACATGCCTGTAATCCTAGCTACTTGGGAGGCTGAGGCAGGAGAATTGCTTTGAATCTAGGAGGCAGAGGGTGTGATGAGCTGAGATCGCTGCATTGCATCCAGCCTGGGCAACAAGGCGAAACTCTGTCTCAAAAAAAAACCAAAAAAGTCTGGGTGCGGTGGCTCATGCCTGTAATTGCAGCACTTGGGAGACCAAGGTGGGAGGATCACCTGAGGTCAGGAGTTAGAGACCAGCCTGGCCAATATGGTGAAACCCCATCTCTACTAGAAATACAAAAATAGCCGGGTATGGTGGCGCGTACCTGCTAGTCCCAGCTACTTGAAGGGTGAGGCAGGAGAATCACCTAAAACCCGGGAGGCGGAGGCTGCAGTGAGCTGAGATTTTGCCAGTGCACTCCAGCCTGGGCGACAGAGTGAGACTCCATCTCAAAACAACAACAAAAACAGCATTTGGCTGATGCCTGTAATTCCAGCATTTTGGAAGGTCGGGGTGGTCAGATTGCTTGAGCTCAGGAGTTCGTGACCAGGCTGGACATGGCAAAACCCAGTCTCTACAAAATACAAAATCAGTGACATGGCAAAACCCAGTCTCTACAAAAAAATACAAAAATCAGTGGTAGTGCACGCCTGTGGTTCCAGCTACTCAGGAGGCTGAGGCAGGAGGTTCACCTGAACCCGGCAGGTTGAGGCTGCAGTGAGCTGTCATAGTGCCACTATGCTCCAGCCTGGACCACAGAGCGAGACCCTGTCTCAAAACATATATAAATAAAAATGAAAATAAGGCCAGGTGTGGTGGCTCATGCCTGTAATCCCAGCACTTTGGGAGGCCAAGATCAGCCTGGACAAAATGGTGAAACCCCATCTCTATTAAAAATATAAAATTAGCCAGGCATGGTAGTGTGTGCCTGTAATCCCAGCTACTCAAGAGGCTGAGGCAGGAGAATCACTTCAACCTAGGAGGCAGAGTTTGCAGTGAGCTGGGATCACACCATTGCACTCCAGCCTGGGCAACAGAATGAGACTCTGTCTCAAAAAATAAAAATAAAAATAATGAAAATAAAGAGGGAGAAGAAATATACCCTGGCCTTCTAAGGGTGCAATAACAGATACACAGAGTTCTACTCTTTGGGTGTGTAGCCCCAGCCCTAAAGAGCTCACCTGAGGAGAACAGATGCTGATATGACAATCCAGTAAATCATATCGAACCTCCACTCCACTACTGCCCTGAAACAGGCTCTGTGGGGAGAAGTTACAAGGACTTTAATTCGTTTCTCCCACTGAAGCCTGTCACTTCCCCACCTCTAAGGACCCCAGATATCCACACACCAGAGGAAACGAAAAACGCCGGAGACCCTGGGTCTTCTGAAAATGGAGAACCCTGTTTGTGGCATTATCCACAGCCACTACCACATTTTCTTCGTGGCAACGAGTTGGGTGGCTGGGGGATGACTCCTTGAAGATCATCGTCATCACAGAAACATTTTTTTCTAGCTTCCGTCTCAACCTATAAAGGACAGGAGGGAGAGAACTGCATAAAGCAGTCTCAGGGCTCTGCTGGTCTTTCACCCTTGTTCCTGTCATTTTCCCATCCTGACCTGTGTTCCTCAAGGGCTCTGGTGATATTGATGTTTGAGATGACATCCCCATACACCAGAAGGAAGTCAGAGCGCACCAAGGCCTTGGCATCAACATCACGGAGGACATCTCCCAGTGATCGATAGAGCTCTGATGTAATTATTCGAACCACATTGAGAGATGTAGGGCGGCACCACTTGGACTTCCTAAGGGAGGGTGAGGGGAATGAATATATCAAGCATAAATATCATTTGAGCCTTCCCCATTTTTCACCCCCATTCAGCATTCACAGTCCTTCTCAATGGCTTTTTTGGGTTCTTGCCAGCGTCTTCAACTTCAAAGAGAATCATGAACTACAATGAATGCTTTCAGCATCCTGTGTCACCAGTCTTGTTTTATGGGTTAGGAAACATGGTTATTTCCCCTCCATACCTTGACCCCTTGTCCCTAAACATCAATTTGAACTCAAAATCCTGCTGAAGCCTAGGGTACACAAAGTACCCTGGGAACAGACTTCATGTCAGCTTTCCCCTTCTGCAATCCATATAATATTTAGCAACTGTCTGATGGAGACCATGCTAATGTCCTAGTCTTTATTTCCTGGACTTCCATAAGTGATGCGATTCCCTAGTTTTCAAGATTTCAAAAAACATGTAAGTGCTCACTACATGCTTGGGACTGAGTTAGGCAGTGGGAATACAAAGATGACAAGGAACTCATTTATATCCTTGAAGGTGAGAACAAACAAGATTTAGAAACTCAGTGGGAAAACAAAGATGTTATCGTTGTAACTTCCATACTGAAGCCATTACATAAAAGCAAAGTCCACTGGGACCAAACTTTATAATGAGATTCAGAAAAAACCCAAGTTTATTCTTTAACCTTTGTCACAGAAAACCCAAGACAGATACAAAGTTTCAGCTGCTCACCTCCTGACAGGTGTAAAAAATACCCTTAGAACTTACAACGACGTCTAAGTAGACACATTTTTCCCTTCTCACATTTCCCCTTAGTTACATTCATCCTGAAGAAACTGGAAAAAGATGGCGAAACATGGAAAGAAAAGAAGAAAAGTTGGAGGGCCTTACAGTAGATGTTCTTTGATTTGAGCAGCTTTCCAGCAACAAAACACAAATGTTTCCTGTACGCCCGTGGCAGTCAGGAACTCCAGAGCATAGTCCATCAATGCCACATTGGCCAGGGGCAAGAGGGCCTGAAGGGTGGAAGATGAAAACAAATTGAGGTCTCGAATCCCTTTGGATACCCCACTGCAACAATTTTCACTCCTCTATTAATATTTCCAAATGGTGTAATTTTGCTGTATCTTTCCAATGTAAAGGTAAACAGGTTCCTGCCTTTGATGTTCATGTCATGCTCTAAGCCTGAGTCTGAAACGTTGCAATTTGGGGATGGTAAGTACAGAATCTGTGTGCCTTGTATCAGACACAGAGCTGTGACAGAATGGCAGTTCACCGCTGGCAAAGGATAATACTGGAAATCAATCATATTTCCATAAATTTAAGCATTGCTAAGGCCTTCTTCCCCATAAGATTTCCTTCCTTGATCCCTTTCTAAGTGTCAGAGGTTAGCCATCTCCCGTCACTTTTGAAAAATGAAGAGCCATTAGGCGTTTTCGAAAGAATTAGAGAGGATTTTCTTAAATCCCATGCAGTTCCCTCTCTCTGAACTGAGGGCTGCTGAACGACCCAGCTGAGTTCAATACTCCATTGTCTAGACAACTCGGGGGCTGATGGCAATCAACCACTAACCCCCATTTTGTCCTTTCGACAGATAGCACCGGGTATCATTAGAACCTGGAGGGGGAAAAAAAAGTACACTGACCGAGATCTAGCCTGTTCTTTTTAAGGCATATTACCGCCCTTTCAGACGCAAAAGGTCGTTTCTTTTCACCTAAGCATCCGTCATCTGCAAGGTTAAAAGCGGCGCAGCCTCTTCTAGGGGCACTGAATCCCCGCGTGAAGACTTCTCTCAAGCGCTGTTTCTACATTTAGCTCTCTTCATTCCTTTCAAACCCGAGGTGTACAGCATTACGAATGCCCAAATCTGCCGGCCACTAACTTGGTCAGCAGTCGTCGGGGTTTAAGACAGTCCCTCTGCCTCCTTCCTAACCATGTAAACTCGGTTTTAGGATAACAGTATGGACACAAGTCCTTCAAAGGCATGCCGTAGTAGTTAGCCGAAAGGAGAACTTGCTCCAGCCCTGCCACACTTCCAGCCCTCTGGCTGCTCGCGTGCGCTGCGCTCACCCGAGGCTGGTCCTTGGAGATGGGGAAGAAGCGGCGATCGAAGCTATCGGCCACCAGAACTGCTTGTAGGGGCGGCGGCGGTTCCTCCTCCGCCCCTCTGGCTCCCCCGCCACCGCTGCCTCCCGGCCCCGCGCCGCTGCGCTTGTTGGCCCGACTAGCCACCACACCAGGCGGCGCCACTACAGGGGCCGCCATCTTCTTCTCTCACGGCCACCACTTCCGCAAGGAAGCTGACACCGCACGCAATAAGGGACAAAAAGGATCCAGCACTTGAAATGCGATGAACTAATTAACGAAGGGAAGGAGGAGACGAGGAGGGAGCAGTGCGCATGCGTCTTCTGCGGGCGCCCACAGGGTTCTGAGGTTCATCCCGGAGGCGTGAGGAGTGGGGACGGGTCGCGGTTGTCCCGGCCCCTGGAGGCGCAGGGTAGGGGTGGGGTCTCATAGACGTCAGACTCGGTCTGCAAGTATCGTCGGCCTTCATTTGTCTGTGAACAAGTCGAGATTCTTGCAGCGTGATAGGATGTGTGGTCGCCACGAAGGGGCCAGCTCCATCCGGAACCTGTAATCGTCCAGCAGTTTCCCCGCCCCGCGCATGTGAAATATGTAGCCCTCCGTATTCATTCTAGAAACTTCTGGGAACCCAGCGCCTTGGGGAGATGGAACCGAGCCAGATGTCCCTCCCCTGCGAGGAACTCAGAACCTGCATAGAGAAGGTGGCATATAGTAGGGAGACTAGTAATTCCATTGAGCGCTGATTTTGGGCTAGGCACGATACAAGCATTATCTCATTTAATTCGTCACATATCTCTGCAAAACATCTTATTCATTCGTTCAGCAAACATTTCTTGAACTCTCAGAAGGATGAAGGAAGTTTACCCATCTAGTAAGTGGAAGAACTGGTATTGGAACCCGATCTGTCAGACTGCAGAGTTCCACAATCTTGCTGCCAAGTTATGTGGGGATAACAATGACTATTTTATGTCATCTATTCATTCTTCCAGCCTATCATCCTCCTCTGTCTTAAGCAGAGTGGAGACAGGGGTGGATCCAGGCACACCAGTAAGTTGTACTGGCATTAAGCGGTAAGCTTTCTGGGCAGAGGAAAGTGCGGGCGTAAAGGTCCAAGGCTTGAAAAGGCGCAGCAGCACCTTTCTCTCTTTGGGGAAAGATGCGGGGGCTGCGGGGAATAAACCAACCCTGCAGAGGGGCGGGGCCGTGGGAAAGCGGTGGAACAAGGCAGGAAGCCTGGGCGTCATTTGGGAGGCAAGAAGCTTTTCTGTAAAGCATCGCGCCCTTTCTGCACGGGATCTGTCCAGGTTCCACGCCACAGGCTTCTGCAGTTCCTGCAAACTTCCCATCCCGCCCCGCGTTGCACGTCGGGATTTGGAGTTTGCGATGCTGAGCGTTGTTTCCGCGTGGCGATTCCGACTTGACGCGTCGTGTCCCGGCGCTCGCCTCGTGGAACCGAGGAGTCTGTCATTTCTTCCCTGGTTAGGGTGCTGAACGAAAACCGTTTGATTTATCCTGGAAAAGGAAAGGCTGAAGGCAATTAAGTAAACGTTTTCAATTAAATGAATGCACGTTGTAGAAAAGGAATGTTCAACTGCCTTACAAATCCAGAGGTAGAAATGGGGGGCGGGGGAAGGAATTAAATAGGACACACACACACACTCTTGGGGGGCAGGGTATGGAAAGTAGGTCCGATTGCAGCATTTATTTTAAATGATTCCCGCAACCTTGGGAAGTTAGGAAGTGGTGAATCCGCTGCCGAAAAGCATTTGTGCTTATGGTAAATCCAGGTCTTAAAATTCTGTAGACTGGTAGCTATATGGATATGATTTTAATAGATGAGTTTCAGGAAGACTCTCTCAAACTTTTTTTTTTTAAACTTACTTGAAATATATTGGAAACCACATATACATAATCTGTCTCACACACACTACGTAAAGAAGTAAAATTTCCTTTCCCCATTCTTTCATCCTATCCAACTCTGTACAGTCATAACCATTCTTAATAATTTGATGGGTATTCGTTTCATTTCCTCCCTAAATTTGTATATCTCGAACTAGAGCTAGAGTGTATGCCTACACACACCCACACCCATACATATGTATTCAAATATAATATACGTATATCCACATGTATTCAAACACAGAATTATGTTTAGATAATTATGGTTATATGCTGGTATGCTAGAGCCAGACTGCCTGGCTTCCTTTCCAGACCCTAGATTGGTAACTTTGGGCAACTCAGCCTCTCTATGCCTGGACTTCATCTTTGAAACGGGATAATAATAATACTTATCCCATACGGTTCTTGTGAGAATTAAATGAAATAATATATGAAAAGCCCTTAGAACAGGCATTGACACATTGTGAAGGTAACGTAGCTATTTTGATAGTTATGCATTTTGTCTGCAACTTGATTTTTATTTAACATATGAGGGAATGTAGACAAACGTAGCAATTTTCAATGATTCCATTAAATTCCATAGCATGAATATACCATTGTTTATCCAACCATTTCTCTCTTGAGAAATATTGCAGATTTTTTTTGCAGTTTCTACGATTACACATAATGCCGCAATAAACGTATTTCTACACATAGTCTTTATAAATTTGCATTTATTTCTTAGACTTTATTATTGAATTAGAGTAACTGGTTCAAATTGGATGTAATTCCCATGGCAGAGGGTACATTGTTGAACTCACTGGCAAGTCTGATGAGGCACTGGTGGAACTCATAGAGATATTGCTTAATTGCTCTCCCTGGACAATGTGTCATTTTGCACTTAAACCAGCAATGTATGAGAGTGCCTGTTTCCCCATAGCCTCACCAACAGAGTATTTTGTCAATAGTTTGGACTTTCTACCAATCTATAAAGGAAAATTAGTGTAGTTTTAATTTGCATTTATCTATTTCAGTGAGGTTGAACTTTTTTTTCATATATTTGGTCAACTGCAAGTTCTGGTTCTTTTTCTTTTCTTTCTTTTTTTTTGTTTTTTGAGACAGAGTCTCACTCTGTCACCCAGGCTGGAGTGCAGTGGCACGATCTTGGCTCACTGCAACCTCCGCCTCTGAGGTTCAAGTGATTTTCCTACCCAGGCCCCCCTGAGTAGCTGGGATTACAGGCTCACGCCAGCATACCTTGCTAATTTTTGTATTTTTAATAAAGATGGAGTTTCGCCATGTTGGCCAGGCTGGTCTCAAACTCCTGACTTCAGGTGATCCATCTGCCTCGGCCTCTCAAAGTGCTGGGATTACAGATGTGAGCTACCACACCCAGCCTCTTTTTCTTTTCTTTTCTTTCTTTCTTTTTGCTTAGAAACAGGGTTGTGCTCTGTTGCCCAGGCTGGAATACAGTGGCACAATCATAGTTCACTGCAGCCTCAAACTCCTGGGCTCAAGCAGTCCTTCTTCCTCAGCCTCCAGAGTAGCTGGGACAACAGGCACCTGCCACCACACCTAAGTTTTGCAGTTTTTGTAGAGATGGGGTCTTTCTGTGTTGCCCAGGCTAGTTCTGGTTCTTTCTCTGAATTTAGATTTCAAAATGAGTCTTGAATATGAAATCAGTTTAGAATATAAGCTCTGTAGGCTTTCTGTTTATTTTATTCACTACTATAGCCCAGGTGTCTAGAAGAGTAACTGGTACAAGGCAGATACTCACTAAATATTTGTTGAGCGAATGACTGGTTGTTGCTAGTCAGTAACTGAGTACGTGATCAACTGTAGACAAACAAAAGTAATTCCTGACTCTCCCAAGGCTGCGGCTCTTTTTAAAAGATTATGGTAAAAATACAACAGAACATAAAAGTTATCATCTTAACAATTTTTTAACCTTGGCATGGAAAATTGATTGAAGTTAGCCATTTTTAAGTATACAACTCTGTAGTGTTACTCACGTTCACGTCGTTGTGCTACCGTCACCACCATCCATCTGCAGGCCTCTTTTCATTTTGTAAAACTGATACTCTGTACCCATTAAACACAATCCTCATTTCCCACTCAGCCCAGCTCCTGGCAACCACCGTGCCACTTTCTGTCTCTATGAATTTGACTGCTCTAGGTCCCTCATATAAGAGGACTCACATAGTATTTATTTTTTTTGTATCTGCCTTATTTCACTTAGCATAATGTCTTCAAGATTCATCTATATTGTTGCATGTTTCAGAACTTCCTTCCTTTTAAGGGCTAAATGATAATCCACTGTAGATACCACATTTTATTTATCCTTTTATCTGTCAATGGACACTTTGGTGGCTTCCACCTTTTGCTATTGCGGATAATGCCAATATGAACATGATTGTATAAATATCTGTTCCAGTCCCTGCTTTCACTGAAATAAATGGAACTACTGTATCATGTGGTAATTCTACATTTAATTTTTTGAGGAATTGCCATACTTTTTTTCGTTTTTCTTTTTGTTTGTTTGTTTTTGAGATGGAGTCTCTGTCACCCATGCTGGAGTGCAGTGGCGCCATCTCAGCTCACTACAACCTCCACCTCCCAGGTTCAAGCAATTTTCCTGCCTCAGCTTCCCTAGAAGCTGGGATTACATGTGCACACCACCACGCCAAGTTAATTTTTGTATTTTTAGTACAGATGGAGGTTTCACCATTTTGGCCATGGTGGTCTCAAACTCCTGACCTCAGGTGAACCACCTGCCTTGGTTTCCCAAAGTGCTGGGATTACAAGCGTGAGCCGCTGTGCCTGGTCCCCATTTTTTGAGACAGGGTCTTGCTCTCTCGCCTAGGTTGGAGTGCAGTGGTGCAGTCGTGGCTCACTGTAGCCTCAAACTCCTGGACTCAAGTGATCCTCCTGCCTCAGCCTCCCGTAGTGCTAGGATTACAGGCATGAGTCACCACACTCAGCTGCCATATATGTATTTTTTACAGCAGATGCACCATTTTACATTCCCACCTACAGTGAACAAAGGTTTCAATTTCTTCACATTCTTAGTAACACTTCTATTTTTCTTTTTCTTCTTTTTTTTTGAGACAGAGTCTTGTTCTGTTGCCCAGGCTGGAGTGCAATGGTGTGATCTTGGCTCACTGCAACCTCTGCCTCCCAGGTTCAAGCAATTCTCCTCCCTCAGCTTCCTGAGTAGCTGAGATTACAGGCATGTGCCACCATGCCTGGCCAATTTTTCTATTTTTAGTAGAGGCAGGGTTTCACCATGTTGGCCAGGCTGGTCTCAAACTCCTAACCTCAAGTGGTCCGCCCGCCTCGGCCCCCAAAGTGGTGGGATTATAGGCATGAGCCACTGCACCCGGCCTGTTTTCTTCTAACTTTAAGTGGCACTTTTCCCCTTCCAAAATTCTACTTATAAATATATTAAAATAATGGTAGGATATGTCCCTTTCAGGGTACCCTTGATACGTATATAAGAGCTGGCCTTTTCTAGGCACTGCTAAAGAGCCAGGGCTCTGGTGACAGGAAGCATTAAACTGGTGGAGCACCTTGAGGGTAAGTCTTGGGGACTTTTGTGCTTTTCAACTGAGCTCACTTATTGCTTAGTGGACTGAGCTTGTTCACTGCTATGAGTGTCGTTTATTTTTCTAGTTACTGTGGTTCTGCAGTAGTAGTTAAGAGTTCTAAATATCATACGGGATAGCTGAGGTCTGTGTCCAAGGTTAGAAAGTGACAGAAGAAATAAAATTCTGGACTGGACCCGTGGCTCACGCCTGTAATCCCAGCACTTTGGGAGGCCAAGGCGGGTGCATTACCTGAGGTCAGGAGTTCGAGACCAGCCTGGCCAACATGGCAAAACCCCATCTCTGCTTAAAAAAAAAATACAAAAAAAAAAAAAAAATTAGCCGAGCATGGTGGTGTGCGCCTGTAATTCCAGCTACTTGGGAGGCTGAGGCAGGAGAATCGCTTGAACCTGGGAGGTGGAGGTTGCGATGAGCTGATACCATGCCACTGTACTCCAGCCTGGGTGACTCTGTGTCAAAAAAAAAAAAGGTCTGAGTTCTTCCCTGTTTTTGTTAGCACGTCCAGAGATACACGTAGTCTCCAGGGTATAACAATTTTTTTTTGTCTTCTAGGCTGAGGTTTGAGGGAAAAAGATGTCCTTTAAGTTTTATCCATAGTTGAGTTGAAACAGGTTGGGATTTTTCAAAACTTTACTCAAAATCCTAAGGGAAGAGAAGGGA